GGAGAGCTGGGTCCTGACCTGGGAGAGGGAGGAGGATGGCAGAGCCCTTCTGCAAGGGCAGGTTGTTTGGGGACTTACCTGCTGTTTCTGTTTCTCTCTGCTCTAAGATCTTTTCTGAGAACTAACACTTGCTTTGGTGCCTTTTCCCTCTCGGAAGGTGCAAGTCCCTGCAGACCACAGAACGTGCTGGTCACACACCTCGATGGGTGAAGAGTTCATCTTTCCTGTTACCTGCTCTCTAGGTTCCAGAAGTACAGGGGACTGAAGAGTTTCCGGACTTCTCCGTGGGACCCCAAAGAGAATCTCCCAAGGGATTATGCCAGGATTTTCCAGTTCCAGGACTTTTCCCGAACCAGGAAGCACATCTTCCGGCAAATAGAGAAAGAGGAGACTGAAGGAGCCTCGGTACCTCCCTTTTCTGTTGCTGATCTCTTCCCCTTCTGTGTTCCCTTGCTCCTGGTAGGAAAGGCTTGTCAGGGAGGTGGCTGGGTAGATCTTTTCAGCCAGATGGTTCTTAGCATGAAGCCATGAGTTCAGATGATATTCTCCTGGATTCCCTCTCTAACCCAGGCACGTGTTACTTCTGGCACTTTGCTGTTGAGAGAAGTATTCACAGTTGATCCTCCCTTGGCAGGTTGGCTGGTACGTGACCCTTCATGTCTGCAATGTTCCTGTCTCAGTGATGGAGAGCTTCAAAGAAGGGAAGCCCCTAGTCCTGTTCTCGCTGCTTCCCCACGAACAAAAGGTGACTTGAGTGTGACCCTGATGATAACCTTGTAGGTGTGCAGCTCCCTTGTCTGATTCCCTCAGGCTGCATGGGTTGGAGAGGTTCTGGCTGCAGAGGGTTTGGGTTGAAATCTCCCTGCGTTGTTCACATTTCAAAGTAGGACTTTCCCTTTGGTCAGAGCAGGCTGAAGCTGCCAGGGGTGTTCAGGATCAGGTGTCTGAGCCTGGCTGGGGTGTCTGCAATGCCCTGTTGCTTTCTGCTCTGGTCACCATCGTTTGCCAGCTGTGCTGTCAGCCCCTCACAGTGCTTCTCCCTCTCTTGCAGATGTCTGTGTTGAATTTCCTGGTGCGTCGGCATCCGAGCAACAGCGAGCCAGTGAGAGCAAAAGAGGAGCTGATCTTTCACTGTGGGTTCAGGCGCTTCCGAGCGTCCCCCCTGTTCTCCCAGCACACCTCAGGTTTGTGAGGGACCCGTGGGGTGGGCATGGATGTGCCAGGAGGTGGGGCTGGGCTTTCTAGGGCAGGAAGCCTGTGATGTCTTAGCCGTGGTGTCTGAACCTGGCTGAAGGACTCTTGTGAAGACTCACTCCTAGGCTCTGAGGCTTCCAGGGGAGGTAATAAATACTAGGGAATAAGAGAGCTTGGGCAAAGTGGTAGCTCAGAGGATCCCATTCATTCCCAGATACTCTGTGCCAGCAGAGGAGGGGTGTTTGTCACCTGTTTTCCTAAAGCACAGAGTCTGTTTGCCAGGGAAAAATGGGCTTCATGGTGTTTCCCAGAGCTCTGAGGATGGATGGCTGTTGGCCTGAACTTTGCTCTTCTGCCCTAGCTGATAAGCACAAGCTGGAGCGTTTCCTGCGCCCGGATACTGCCCTGGTGGTGACTGTTTACGCTCCCATCACTTTCCCTCCTGCCTCAGTGCTTCTTTTTAAACAGAGAAGTAATGGTAAGTTATGAAATGCATTTCCATCCCCAATATCATGGGCACCTTTTTCTGTCCCTGCTGTAGGGTTGTTCTGGGCCTGGAACCATTTGGGGAAGGGGGTTTTGGTGAGGGAGGAGGTGATGGAGGCACTTTCTGTGCAGT